ATCTTGTGCAACGATTATCATTTGTTATTGTTTGATAATTATAATCTTGCGTTGCTACACGGGGTCCAGGTGCTTGATGTCTGTTGGGAGACGGGTTCAAACGTGGGTGCCTCGATACCGTCTGATTAGTCTTTATATTGATACCAGCTTGGTGGCTACTAGTGTAATCCAGGACGCGCGTTTCATCCCATTAGAGACTCATTATCTGGATGTACCTGTACCCTCATGAGTGATGTTTTTCCTAGTGAGACCCGTTTGAAGGAATGGATACTTAATTTGAGTCTTAGTAGGAAAATCACTCAGCGGGGTGCAGGTACATCCAGATGACGAGTCTTAAATAGGAAAAAACGAACGTCCTGAATTCAATCGGCAATCGTCAAACATACTACAGCATAAAAATGTATTTTCGTTATAACGCATAGATTTTACAGTTTATGTGATGTAATAAAGAAAAACTGATAAAATATCTCGATAATTCCACAGTATTTCAATACTCAATAAAACTCATTGAAATATGAATTAAATAATCAATAACTTTGGATTGTACTATATTACATCTACTCAAGATATTATTTTACAACTTTTTTACTCCTATCATTGTATTTAAGTAACTTTGTTGATGAAATATGGACAATTTTCCAGTGAACTTTCATCTATCAGACATTGCAGAAAACATGATTAGAACGAATTATGAATTCACTATTCTACCAAATGCATCTGCTAAACTGTTATAGTTTCGTACGTCAACGGTTATACATATTCCGAAACGAATATAATACGCGCGCTTAGCTGACAGCTAACTTAGTACGCAAGAGCCAACTGACTGCAACCCAGGGACAACTAGAGAGGAGAGAAGAAGCTGGATGACGGGAGAGTTACTACTCCGAGAATATGATATGATAATCAATCCCAAAACACGTGAATACACACATGAAAAATAACCTTGTCCTCAATTTGAAGCATTTGCATAGTAAGAGTAGAGATTAACCAATCAGCGATTTACATTACAATAGAGACAGAAAGTAGACTACACCGTAAAAATGGTGTGGGAATGACACATTAAAATGTTCAGATCGATAACAATGTTTTATACAAAACTGAGGCATCGCAACATAAACTATTTCGGAAATTTGTAGATTTGCTCAAAATATACTTTAAAAAAATGGAGATTCAAAAAACCACCTAGTGCAATACAATGAGTAAACAAATTTCTATCATCGCAACTGCTAGTCATATAAATTTCTTTCATTTCATAATGATACAGTTTATAGAGTTTTCAGCATTTTACAACTGAATTCTGAAGGTTATTATTTTTTTATACCAGTTGGATTGTAGGAATTTTAAGCATTCTGTATATATCACCGTTTTTTTCCTCATTGTGTTTCAGCTTTTGAAGTTACAGTTTTGTAATATTTGTAATGTTGAAAGTTTAAACACACCCAACTCCTTCAAATCTCTATTGCCCTTAGGTTGCCTTCCAAATAGACGGACAAATATAAATAAGTATGCAAAGGTTTTTTTTAACCAATTAGGTTCCTTGGTTTGTCTTGGTGGAACGATATTATTACTAGCAGGCGAAACATAATCCACAGCTTGAAGTCGTAAAGTTGTTATTAGGTTGAAAAATATTTTTGAAGACAGGGTGAATGAGACTGAAGCCATTTAGACGTTAACAGGCTCTCATATAATTATTGTAAAAGATAAATGATTTCACATAAATAATTACTCTCATCAAGTGAGTATCAAGAACTGTCAGTTCTATTGTGTACTAGATGTTTGTGAATACTTGTAAACGGCTTCTTAGGCAATAATCATCGTGTGAGTTTTCAGTGTTTGTCACTATGATGTGGTTGCAGACTACTGCTTATTCCGGAGAAGGATATAGGTGGCTATAAGATAGGTGTTTGTAATGAATGTTTTGGCTTAAAATAAGTAATGAGTAGCTTTGCTATACTTTTTCTAGACCAGTCCAGAAATGTTTTCACTTCTTATTCCTTCTGTCTGATTTTGCTGATATCAAAAAATAGATCTCACTCAGTACTGTGGCTACAATGATGAAGCTAAACAATATTATTTCGATGGATGTTATTTAATGGTTACAAAATGATGAATTCACTACATTCAACTACTGAAAATAGTAACAATAACAGTAAATATTTAGTCCACATTTCATGTCCTCCAATGTAGACTGCATGAAATCAAATGCGCATCTGAAAATTGCTTTCAGTGATACGATGAGTTAGAATAGATTGGGTATATGAATAAATATTCATCAAGTTAAAAAGTAGGTAGATAATACCAACATAGGATGATGGATTAGTATTTGGTGGTCATATTTACCTCCACTCCAAGTCATAAAATTAGAGTAAAAAAATAAAAGAGAGGGAAATGGAGTTATTGTACACAATGATGAAAAAAGTTGAATAAAATCAGCTTAATGAAGAATTGTAATATGACGTTTAGAATAAAGATAATATGTGAAAGCATCATCTATGCCACAATGATTCATTCTCAGACGTTACCTAGGGAAGCTAATTATCGCTTTTACTTGCGTCATACATCTCAACAAGGAGACTTTCATTTACCTTACTATCGGGAACTAGCATTCAGAAAATTCATCAAGATCCATAGCTTTCTTCCAGACTGATCCTCCTAATTCAGTTAATGTGGCAAGTTGAAGTGGATAGCAAGTCTAAAAGGTCAGCATATGTCCCAGCAGCCACCGGTTAAACTTTACACCTCTGTTATCTGAATTTCATAAGACCATACAAATCACCTCTTTGATGTTCATATAATGATTCTATAGCAAGTAGGGTATACCACGAATAGAACACAGTGAATGTCTGCGTAATACACTCGACTTTTAACAGGTAGTCAGGTATCTTATGGGCTCTAGAGATGGTTGAATTTAGAAAAATTCAATTAAGCTTTTTTGACCATGCCAAGATTTCATCGAACACCAGTCTACTATAGATCACCTAAATTTCAAAGTATCTGAAGTAGTCGGCCTGCTGAACTACTTCACTCTATATCGTCATTTGAGGGCGGTAGTGAAGTCTGGTCTTGAAACAGCAGTTTCCATTTGAGTGGTGAGAAATATCCCAAACAATCTCAAATTGCCACTCAAGCGTCCAAAAGACTGCATCTTGTCAATGGCCTGGTGAAATTCAAAATCACCATACCATAAGTCAACTAATAAGTATCCTATAAATTGCTCAGTTGCTGTAAACTCAGATCAGAAGTGCAAGGCATCCGTCGTTATATCTATGATAAAGCTTACCAAACGTTGGGAGTGTCAATTTCTTCATCAATAAATACCACTTGATGTTAGCTTCTTGTACTCTGTGATCTCTATCATGACTATGAGTTTTAGTATACAACCTTCTTTAGGTTGATGTACTAACCGAGAACTCCTTTGAGAATAATTTACTTCCATAAATCTCTTCCCGTCAGCAAGATCTAATATCGTGTTTGCGTCAGCAAAGGCAAATGTGTAGGGTGCTCATAAGCATTCTTATTTTTCAAGATCTAACGAAAATCTTGTTAGTACACTGACGAATTAGTCTGAAACATCCATAATCTTCTGAAGTCTGGTCTTTTTGGTTGTATTTGGGCATATGGTGATCACACAAGCTGTAATCGTAAATACAATATCTTTCAAACTGATTTCTCAGTGGTTTTCACAATGGAATTGCTCACTTTTTTTGAAGACTGATGCGATCGGTGGGTGAAGCCAGTTAGACTCAATAATATCTGATTCCCGCATGTTGAATAACGCCTCACTTAGTTGGATTAATAAACCTAAACCACTTTCTTAGCTGTCTGCGATATAAACCCATACAGGGTTTCCGTCCTTTCATGTTTAAGGTCATTTTCAACCTGTGAGATTTAGGGTCTGTGCCGTTGCTGCATTCAGCCTGTCACTAGATAGTGTTGAAATAATAAGTAGCTGGGGGCCACTTGAAATGTTTTTTGAGGGATTCTGCTCATTTTTCTAGTCATTTCTTCTGCCACTTAATCGCACACGCATTTCTGTCCCATATTCTCAATTACCAGAGAATTCCAAACCGCAACTTCCTTAATAGGTTTAAATAATTCTCCATTGTTGCCTATCGCTGCTCCATCTTTCATTATTTTACCATTTACTACCCACCCCTCTCTCAATCACTAATTGGACGTTTTATCAGTTCACGTCTATGCCGTTTCCACTGCTCACTGTATAGAGAGTTCACTTGAAAGCTTTTCATTGTGGACTTCACTCTGAATGAAGTTGCTGAGATCCACTAACCATCTCTTACGATTTTCTCGGTAACTTATGGTCTTTACTACTGTGTTTACAGCAGACATAAGGATTCGTTAGGCTTCTTCGGTATGATTAGAATTGTCATACCCCACCGAAAATCCATTTGCTTCCATTTAAGAGGCAGCCTTGGCATCTTCATAACTAGAATCCGTTTCCTGGTCACTTCATGTTTGAAAATACGGCCCATCGGACGACTGTGTAGTCATTCCAAGCAAATGCTTCAGGGGGAGCGATAGTCCCCTACCGTGTCTACATAGTGGTAACCAATAACGATATGGACTAAATATGTCTACCCTCGTAACCGAAGTTATAACCATTTTTGAAAATAGGTTTGGTTGGAGTTATTGCAAGAATTTGATGGTCGTCACCTTGAACTTACAGATTAATAACTGATAACGATGACGTATGTTACTCATATTATTATCATGTATAGACAATGTAATCTGATTTGTCGCTATCGACTATTTAAACATGTCAAAACTTCTTCAAGTTTTATTTACCGAAGAACTGACTTTTACGAGGTAGCGAAACGTCAGAAATTTGTTTTTCTACCGTATTGGGATTTCACAAAAATATTTTATTCATAATCCAGGTCAAATTTTGATCTTGAAGTCCTTAAGAGTCTTACTAATGTTTGGATAAACGTTAATTACCATAACTTCCTTTAATGAAAATTTAATTTAATTTTCCTTCTAAGCGAATACGAAGCTTACGTAAACGTTCAAGGCATACGTCACACTCGCAAACTAGAGCACCTATGGATTTCAGTGATTTTGAAATGCATGACATAGGATCGGATAATGATCAAATGAGTTCGGACTGTGACCATACACCCAAGTCACGTCGTCGGAAACTAACTGATGCGGTAGGTTTTATAGTTTCTTTCCAGTGATTAATTATGCGTTTTGCTATTTTTTTTAATATACATATATGAATTATTTGACCTTTTTGAACGATAAAAAGACTTTTTGAGATTTGTAAATGGTCAGTGACTAGTGTTAACAATTACAATACAAGCTTGGGAAATACATACGACATATGAAATAACTAGGGTTCTGAAACTTATATGAGTAACAAGGAGAATAAAATCACTCACCAGTTGTTTAAAATCTACTGGCATACAGCAGTGTGTAAGTATTATGGAGTGGGGATGTCTCTGGGAAAAGCAACTAAAGTTCTCATTCAATCCATAAAAGTTCTGAAGGAGAAAACAAAAAAACATGGAAGACAAATGCAGAGAAAAACAGAATCTGAAGATCAATTCATCTTGTGTATAGAATACGAAAACTATTTACATGATCTGTGTTAGGTGTAAATTCTTACTGTTTTACCGATAAGTGGCGCTTCATAATTTCATCAGTCGTCATCTATAAGTTTTTACACAGTGCAGCAGCATTACTAAAGCTATCTTCTTGAGTTTATCAGTGAACTCTTTTGTTCTAGTATAAATTGGCGGCTTCAACAAATTCATTATTTGTTCAGTGCTAAAATCCCAAATGTCTCACATTATAACAGTTTTTCAACCTCGCCTGGTTAACTAGTTTACTAGTTACTAGCCGGTCCTAATCCCGGGTAAAGAGGGAAGGTTGGGCATAGGGCTAGCAACCCTACCCCGTAAAACAAATCTAACCGCTAAAGAAACTTCCAAGCACAAACAAAATATAAAAAATGAAAACAAACTTATTCCCCGCTGGAATCGGAGAGGCGAAATGACGCCAGTTGGTGAAAGCCTTCGGGAAGCCAGTTGGCCGATGTGTCTTCTCTCGATGAAAGCGAAAGTAAACGTGGGGACATGGAATGTCCGTACGATGTTTGAACCCAGTAAGGCAGCCCAGATTGCAAAGGAGATGAGAAGGTATAACATCGAAGTGCTTGAGATTTGCGAAAGCAGATGGAATGGGAGTGGACTCTCCAAACTGTCAACTGGAGAATCAATAATCTACTCCGGTCACCCAGACGCCAACCACGAGCACACTGAGCTATGGAGTGGCTATCATGATGTCCTCAAGAGCATCGAAGGCTCTCATGCAGTGGGAACCAATCTCCTCCAGGATCATGACAGCAAGATTCAACTCAAAAGGAAGAAAGGTCACAATCATACAATGTTATGCACCTACAAATAATGCAGAGCAAGAGAAAAAGGAGGATTTCTATAGACAACTTCAATCAACACTGGACAAGACGTCAGTTGGCGATATCAAAATTCTGATGGGCGACATGAATGCCAAACTGGGAGGGGACAACACGGGAAGAGAACTAACCATGGGTCGAGAGGCGCTAGGTGAAATGAATGAGAATGGAGAATTGTTTGCAAAATTCTGTGCACTCAACGATTTGGTGATTGGAGGCAGTGCGTTCAGGCACAAAGATATCCACAAGGCGACATGGATTTCACCAGACACCAGGACACATTAAAAATCAAATAGACTTCATCTCAATCTCAAGAAAATGGAGACGCAGTCTACTTAACACAAGATCAAGAAGAGGAGCAGATGTAGGTTCAGACCACTCACTATGTAGTGCAAGGAACCTTCGAAATCAAGTTGAAAGCCTTCAAGGAAGCTGGTGATAGACCTCAATTCAAGTACAACACTCGGAAACTGAAGGATGAAACTACAAAGGAGATCTTCAAGGCAGCCATCAAGACAAAATGGGAGACATCGAGCAACATCCCTGAAGAAACCTGTGTGGAAGAACACTGGAAGTCTTTGAAAGCTATGTGGAAAGAAACCTGCACAACCGTATTAGGAAGGAAGAAGAAAGAAGATAAGGAATGGATCTCGACGGATACCTGGAAGCTGATAGAGCAGGGAGAGGAGGATGGTGAAGCAGAAGATAAACCAGTGCAAGGATGCTCAACGACAAGAGGAACTGAGCACAATGTATAAAACACTACACTGGACAAAGAAGTGGAGAAGAGTGCACGCAAAGACAAAAGACACTTCTACGAAACACTGGCAAGTGAAGCAGAACAGGCTGCAGGTAAGAGAGACCTGACGACATTGTATCAAATAACCAGGTTGCTATCAGGGAAGAGACCAACACAGATGAAACCAATAAAAGATGAAGAAGGAAATTTAATTACAAAAGAAGAGAAACAGAGGAAACGATGGGCCGACCACTTCAAGAAGCTGTTGAATCGACCACCACCTGCACTTCGTCCAGAAATACCACCTGCAGCCGCTGAACTACAAGTGAACATTAATCCCCCAACGAAAATGGAAGTCCTGAACGCCATAATGCTACTGAAATGTGGGATAGCAGCAGGACCAGATGGGATACCGCCAGAAGCACTGAGAACAGATGCAGAGACAACAGCGGACATGCTCACACCACTATTGCAGAAGGTGTGGAAGGAAGAGAAGGTACCTGGCCATTGATTGGAAGAAGGGTTACCTTGTCAAACTGCCGAAGAAGGGAGACCTCAGTGTTTGCAAGAACTGGCTCGGAATCACTCTGCTGTCCGCCCGGAGCAAGCAAAATATTAAGCCGCATCATACTGGAGAGGCTTAAAGATGCACTGGATTCAAAACTACGACCGGAACAGGCAGGCTTCAGGAAGTACAAATCATGTGCTGACCAAATTGCAACGCTTCGTATCATCATAGAACAGAGCACAGAATGGCAATCAGCTCTCTACCTCAACTTCATCGACTTTGAGAAGGCCTTTGACAGCGTCGACCGAGAAGTAATTTGGAAACTGCTTCAATACTACGGAGTACTGCAAACCTTTATCCGCCTCATTCAACAACTATATGAAGATGCCACATGCCAAGTAATCCACAATGGGAAGCTCAGTGATGCCTTTGAAGTGAAGACAGGAGTGAAACAAGGTTGCCTACTATCCCCCATGATATTCCTTATTGTGGTGGACTGGATCATGCAGCAAACAGTAGGCAGCGAGAAGAGGGGGATACACTGGACGACGGAAAAGAACCTAGAAGACTTGGATTTGGCCAACGATGACTTATGCCTAATGTCACATAAACTTGAAGATCTGCAGGCAAAAACTAACAAGTTGACAGAAGAGGCAGCTAAGACGGGACTTCAGGTGAATATAGAGAAGACAGAAGTGATGAAGATACCGCACCACCACCATCAACAACAACAACAAACTCCAATCACCGTCAACGGGGGAAACTTGAAGGAAGTAACCTCCTTCACTTATCTAGGAAGCATTGTTTCAAATACAGGCGGCACGGACGAGGACGTCAAAGTCAGAATCGGAAAAGCAAGACAGGTGTTCATTAGCCTGAAACCAGTGTGGAGATCTTCTGCACTCAGCATGCGGAACAAGATACGGATTTTCAACACCAACCCAGTCAAGTCAGTGCTCTTGTATGGTTCAGAGACTTGGCGCGTCACGAAAGGGATTTCCAATAAACTACAGACATTCGTCAACAACTGCTTACGCTCGCTACTGGAGATCAGATGGCCAGAAAGAATAAGCAACAAGGAGCTCTGGCTGGTGATGAACCAACCAAGAACCTATCACGCAACAAATATGCAGGAAGAAGTGGAGATGGATTGGCCATGCACTGAGAAGGCTGACTGAGGTCATCACGCGTCAGGCCCTCGAGTGGAATCCCCATGGGAAGCGACGAGTTGGACGTCCTAGCTGAGGGTGACATGGAGGAGGTCGTGCGAGGAGGAAATGAGAGGTTGTGGGCTGTCGTGGGACCAGGTTCAAAAGATCTCAGAGAACAGAGGTCACTGGAGGCGTGCTACTGAAGCCCTATGTTCCACTAGGAACCCAAGGGACTAATAATAATATAATAAATAACAGTTTTTCTATGCTAAAAGCACGTTATTTGGAAGTGAAATTTTCTATGTGCTAGGTCCGACAAACAAAACAACAGAATCACTTAGTGATTTGGGGGATTATTTAACCACAGGGTAGTACGCCTCACGAACTGATATTAGCACGAGAACCATTTCACACGTTAGGAAGCTATTTCGTTCTATCATGAGACTATTCGTAGTGCGCAATCACGAATACGCCGATTGCATTGGACGACGGTTGTGCTACGTCACGAAATGACAGAAGTAGAAAAAAGGGAACTATTGGATTTTAACTTAGTTTTTGAATAGTGACATGCTTAGCATGAGATGTGAGGGTATCAAACTAGACACCTTGTGGGATCATGGGTGTGTACTGTCCGTTCTAGGACAAAACAGCTGACTGGAACTCCAGGTTCTCAGTGGTTCTCTAAATGATGCCAATTTATGATGAATGCTGCTTCGAAAGGAACTAATATTTGAGAATAATAATAACCTGTTGCAGCTATTGAGAAGAATGTTAGTGATAGATAGTAGCTTGTAGTGAGATCCAAAGTACGCGTTCCACCCAACTTGGGACTTGTCAGCTGGATGTACCTGCCTCCTAGTGAGCAGTGTTGTTCCCTTTTATTGAGGACAATATTTATTAGTTGACGATAAAAATAACCTTTCAGACAACTACTTCTATCATAGATATTAGGAAGCCGCGTAAGGATCTCCCCAGAAGTGATTGGATTTAACAGCTTACTATAGATAAATTATAACCAAACAAAACAGTCATTTAGTGTTTAGAAAACCTTGATCTCACTCGTGCATCTCACTAGCTGTAATCCATTCACCAGGTAGTATTTGATGAGCGTATTCCACTTGCTCTGACACTACTGTGAATGAAAATCACTCCACAAACATCCTCAACTATTTTCTAGGATATCCTTCAAAAATAATTTAATGATAATAAGATGCGCTGAAGCCAATTGAAGGTATTAATATCGATAAAACATTTCCAGTACAATCTCTGACAATAGCTGGTATGTGAAAAAGCAGCCATGTTACATGGAAATGTTGCGTTATCGTTCTGAAGATAATGGATGTGATTATCAGATTGTTTTTCTATTGTATATTTAGCGTTGGTCACTGAAGTATATATATGTATATATATTCAGTTCTGTAGACTCATAAGTTGATACTGTTGATAAAATATGATACACAAGTAATCTAGTCATCAGTACTGGCAAACAAACATCTAGTCGTACATTGCTTTTAATCCCACTTATTTTCAAATCATTTACTGTGGTAGTATCGTAAAAATTCAGTAATCTGCAGTAGAATAAAACGCTCCTACTAGGCAATTTTATGGTCTTGAAAAATAATCCAGTTTGAACTGGTTATTACTTCACCAGATTGTTAGTAAAGATGGATAATGGCTAGCTGTGAAATCTAGGATTCGCGTTTCTTCCAACTTATGACTGGTCAGGGAGACGTATCTGTCTCCCAGTGGGTGATGTTGTACCAAGTAAAATTTGTACCCAATATCGATCACTTCAGGCACCAAAGCGTTATCCACTAGACCAATGAGTTACGTTAGTAACGTCTTGTTGGGTAAATATGGTTCTGATATGATTGTTTATTATTTCCTGTCGTTGATTGAAAGGAATTGATTGGCTACTAGGCACAGGGAAAATAAAGTCATTCACCAGGAGAAAGGTACATCCAGTTTGCGAGTCCCAAACAGGACGAAATACTCGTCCCCAATTCCACTGCTAGGCACCAGCCATCATTACAATCGAAATAAAATTGGTGACAATATTGAAGCATCTGCAAATGACCGCATATGCCAACAGCGACTGATCAACTCGTTTCAATCAGTGACAACATAAACAACAACTTCAGTTGTAACAAGTTGTTCATCAAATGATTTAAACTTTGATGGTTATTTTCGAAATGTAGTAAAACCATATAAGTAAACGGTTTTGATGAGAGGTTTCATTAATCTAATCTAATCTAACCTAAACCAATGCTGACCAACATAATAGTTGACTGCATCACTCAAAAAGTGAGCAACCCCGATCAGCTAAGCGATGATCATGACCACTATCTAACGTGAATAACTGGGATAAAACACTCACCTTTATTTTCATTCATGCATTCATCTCTGAAAACGTTTGGGCTATTCACTATCATAATACCAAAAGTATACCTCAATATGATGATATCAGGTTGAGACTTTTTAAACATTCTAGGAACATTTAACATAACATTTTGAAATTACGAAAAAAAGCACTGCATTACTAGTCATTACCCTTTGTCATTTGCAGTAAATATGACCAGTTTACAAGATATTTTGATGTTTTTGCTTTGTGAATGAAAGTTACTGCGGCTTTTATAAAGAAAACATCGATGGAGGACAAGTTTTTTTAATTTAACGATTTGAAATACTTTTGACCAATCTGAAAATGATCTGCCATTTGTCAGACTTGTATTGATATTGTGTGATGATTGAAGGTGAAGCGAAAATAAGGGTTGCAGCACCCTAAAACCAACCTCATAGTCAAACTAATAATCAGTATAATGGTTCCCCGTATAACTCAACTAACTTTTCATTAGGATGATAAATCTTGACTGGGTAGCTGTGTGAGTACACTCAAGGTGTAGTAACGTCTTACGAATTCAAATGACAGTCGGGTAAAATCTTTGCTGATTGAAGTGAAATAAAAATCTAGTCAGCTGTCGGGTCTCGTAGCTCAGTCGGTGGAGCACAATGCCGGAGACCGGGTTCGAGTCTTGCCGCAGTTCGAATTTTCACCTCAACTTCAACCACCACCCGGTATCAATCTGAAAGTACTTATTTTTCATTAAGAAAACTGCTATCGAAAAAGATTTTGTCAATATTTATGTTCAATTGATCATCAAACATTTAAAAAGATTGTGATATCTTTAGAATAAAAAAATATTGGTTAGTTACTATTAGCGTAGCAAAATAAATACGGTAAACTTTTAGCTAATCGTATTCTCTTAGTTGTCGGGAAAGTGTTTTAAAATAAACACCATAAATTACATAGTAATGATGGATAGTGGCTAGCACTGGAATCCAGGAATCCAAGACTCGTCAACTGGATTTACCTGCTTCCTGGTGAGTAATGTTGTCCGCACCGGGAATCAGACTCGGGAGTGATCGCTTCAAACACGAGAGCGTTATCCACTACACCACCGAGCCACAATAGCTACCTCTTGTGTGACGGGTATAGTTTTATTGTTATTGCTTGTATTACACCGTCGTTGATTGGACCGAATTGATCAGTCTCTGTTGACATACGGAATCTTGTGTGGATGCCTCGATATTGCGCACCCTGGATTCCACTGCTAGCCACTATCCATCATTAATATATACTTAAGAACACAGACAATATTGAGGCATCCGCACAAGAGCCCATACGCCACCAGAGACCGATCAATTCGGTCCAATCAACGACGGTGTAATACAAGCAATAACACTAAATACCATAAATCATATGAAACAAACGAGAAAATATCAGAATAAAACATTAGTAGTAAAATGGGAATGTTGAAAATACTACTACTACTACTACTACTACTACTACTAATAATAATAATAATAATAATAATAATAGTAATAATAGACAAATGGCAAACACGACAATGAAAAAATGTGTTACGGATGACAAATTTTTTCTCCAGCTTGTTTAAAATTACTTTTTTCTTATGAGTTATTGAACTCCGTATGCACAGAAATGCTTTAATGGATACCGATAAATGTTCAAAATTAAGAACATTTCATCTAACAGTTTATGCGATTTCACTTCTGAGATTGTTCATTATTCAAAATAATCAGCAGCGGGGTTCTTTACTGTTCAGTATGATATTTGAAATTAATTTTCACATTATTTTAGTTAGCAAAGTGGGTGACCATGAAGTTAAGAAAGTCAACATTTTAGTTTCACTAGACATACATATATCCTGAATTATGCAAGCACTTACCATTCAGTGGTAAAGAATAACACCACTTATCATCGAAGGTTTCTGTAAAATCACCCCAAATACTTTGAAATAAACTAGTTATCATTATACACTGGATAATTGAATAGTTTTCACATAGATTAATTTAGTAAGTTAAGAAAAGTTGTAATTCATTCCAATCACTTTTGGTATGAGTGGTTTAATTTTTAGGTGAAAAAAGTTTTCGTCAAAAGGCATTTTTTTTTGTAGAGATTACACAAAAATTGTATTTTTACTAACAAAATGGAGTACCGTACACCAGCTGTTTACAAAGAAAGCAACAGATAAACTTTTTTTGCGTGTGGAGACAGAAATATATTATTAACATTTAGCATTACAGTCTGTATAGTGAAGAAATTCAGTCTTTCTATTGTAGAATGAAGTTTTCTAGGTCTTAGGAAGTTTGAACTAATTCCTTAAGCAACTCTACATCTAAGCTTTACTATTTTTGCCACTTATCACCAATATATGTCTGCAGTATCAGACAGACTAATGCTTATTAAACTTTTGTTGATATTATTAAGGATTATCTACGCTAACCTCACTGTGAAACAATCTACCTTCCAATTTCATAAGTGAATGTCGACAATCTCATGTGATGATTTTCTTGCTAGTTGATTTTGAACTTTTTAAGTCAGCGATGGCTCCAATCTATTGCACTGATAAAACTGAAGTCCCCGTCAACTTAGATGGTACCTTAACTACCAATTGAACAGTGATTTGTCTGTAATGATATTTCCCCTCATAATTATTTTCATAAAGATGACAAAGTTTTATGATATTTAGCAGAAATAAACATTTTAATCCTGACTCTGTTTCCCCATAATTTATTTCAATGAGCTGATAAAAGTCATCATTGCACTTGATTTCTTACTTAGTATGGTCAGTGCATCCAGTTAATGGTGTTTTATTCAAGTATCTTGAAGATAATCTCTTGTTTTACATTTAGAAATTATTCAAACTTAATTATTTTCTTTCATTTGTAAATAATTTCGTTAACATGATAGATTCATCGTGCTGGAGATGCTATGCGTTCATTGATGTATCAGATGACATTAGATAGAAAAGAGAGTCAAAGAGTACTGGATGATCAAATGAGTCCAGCTTATTGTGAATCAAAATGGGGCAACTTTGAGAATGATGCAAATTTTATCTATGATAATCCTGGTTACGAGGATGATGCAGCAACAAATGTTATAACACGCAAGTATGTTCATCATTCCAGTGTCATATTATAGTAAATATAAAGTTTGATTCCCTTTCTTAGTAATGTTTACTCTAACTAATAACTGAAGAAGAAATTAAATTTTTACAATAGCCAGTATACTTGTCTTTAATTTTTCAAGTGTTCATAGAAATTTCAGAAATATATTGAGTAGATGAATTTATAGGCTTAACCAATTTGACCAGGAAAACCAACAAACAATTATCATCATATTAATTTACAAGATTACAGAGTGCAAAAAGAATATACTTCCTTGATAATTATAAGTAGTTATACCATTAGTAAGTGATTATTGTTTGTAGCTTGGCAGTAAATGCTGTCGAAGTTCACTTTCTAGATTCATTTGTTTGAAATACTTTGAATAACTAAGTGTATACGATTCTGTTTGTAAAACCAACTACAAAGTCATGCAGGTTGTTTGTACTAACTGTCACATTTTTAACTAATAAAAACAGACAATTTACAATCGGTTAAATATCATACTAACTGTACATAACTCATTCAGAGTTTATTAAGTAATCGTTTATTATTCAAGTATCATGATTGTTTGGTTATATAGATTTATGAAGTTTGAGAGGTGTACTGCATATTTTTCAGCATAAAAGTAAATCGTTCTCTATTGGTCATACTAACGTCTGATGAAGGTAGAAGTCATTAAACCTAGTCAAAGTCTAAAACGTTTTAAGAAGGGATTCATGGAAGCCATTTCACATTTTTGTCTTACTTAAAGATGCTGATTAACATTTCGATAGGTATCTAGAGAGTGGTGCAAACAACTTCCGTATATCTAATGGTTAGAATGTTTAAATTTTACCAGATTACTACTTTGCCAAAATGAAGACTCATAAGTATGAGGTCTTGTGTGATTATTATCTTTCTCAAAATTTACTTAGTTCAGACCAGTGTTTGTTTTGCTTTATTATGCATGAAATTTTCTCAGTAGATCGTTTAGTGACCGTTATATTCTGCTGAGGGGAAACCAATTTCAATTTCCTGAGATTTATTTCAGTTGGTATTTTAGAATAAATCCGGTTTTACTAGCTAATGAAAGTATAAAATATGCTCATATCAGCATGCTGCAAAAGTTCCAAATTGGTGTTTAAAAAGATAAAACTCTCCAGTGAATGAGAAGAAATCTTAATTTATTCGGGATCTTAACGGTAGTTAAAGTTCGCTGAAGTTTTTATTTGTGCTATAAATTTAACCATTTTTTAACTGATAGGTTGTGGGAATTGGCTTACGTCAAAGTGGTTTCCATCATATATCGATATCAGCCAAGGGACCGATAAAATCCTAGGGATAGTAAACAGTAATTCTATCGCCGTCTTCAGACTCCTCTGCGCTACCCGACCAAGACTCCTGAGGGAAGCAAGTCCAGGACTCTTAGTTCTAAAAGCATTCTTATCGTTAGTTAGCGACTTGGCTGAAGGACAATAGTTCGCTTTTTCTTACTTCTATCAAATTCTATCAACTTATGTGAACATCAACCAAGTTTCATTGGTTAACCAAATGATAGAAATCCGATTTGACAACTAGTTTTAAACCAGTCATCCTCTAAAATCCATTGGCTGTACTACTATACATTGTCTAATAGCAATTTATTTTTGGATGTATTTTCCACAGTTTTTATGAAGAGCTGTGACTTGTGAGATAAATAAAGCAGGATATAAAGACAGTTATTCACTGACAACTTTTGACGATTTCCCTCTTATGTCTTTAATTAATAAACGTAGGAAAATTGTAACCACTTTTTTATAACCTAGAGGCTAAATGGCAACATGCACACCACCCAGACCTGATAGCCCTAACCCTGATCCCTCATGAGGTCTTGACGGAGCTATATTGGTGAGTTCTAAAAGGGAGCCACAACAGCTGTTTAGTACTCATTCATTTTCACCTCTTCTCTGGCTGATTTTTTATGATGGAGTCCGTTTTGAAAACAGCCATTTTTCAAGTTTAGTGTATATTTTGATTTGTATAACAGTTATATCATTGCTATATATAGTACTAGTATAGTCATGTAAGTGACCCCCTATTGTTTGTAATTACTCGAGAAAATGTGACAAAAAATGCATATTTTTCAAATATATATTACTACTATCAAGTGTACTTGATTAAAAATTGTACTTCTGAAGTTCGCAGCAGGTTTCTACAATTAGCAACACTTCGACAAGTCAGGTGAAGTGGAAATTAATGCACACGGATGACTGAAGATATATATATATATATATATATATATATATATATATATATCATCAAATTTGTAACACGAAAGTAGAATGGTACTTATTTCCTCCTTAAAGTATAAGATTATCACACATTTTTATTTTACATAATATGAATACTTATATCACATTTTTTGCTAGCTAACTTATTACTTAGCTTAAACGGTTAGGGTTCCTATGACACAACGCATTCGTTACTTTTTTAAACTAGTTTTTCTAAGGGAATAAAACGTTTCAAAATATTTCAATTAGGATTGTTATGATAAAAGTTAGACAGTTATACAGGTTTAAACTGCTTTTCATCCATCAAGGAATGAGAAAAAGTTGATAGTTTATGTTACTGATGCTCTGCCATCAAAAGTATCTAATCGATAGGTAGGGTTTCTAAACCAAATAAATTCCTTTCAAACTTAGTGTTCTGTATATTTCTGATTAGAATATACATTACTCAATATTATTCATGGAACTTAGAATCGGTGAACACAAACATCATAACATTAGGTTGAATAAAATAAGTATAACACTAATTAGCGTAAGGAAATAGATAAGAAACTAAAAGATAAAACTTAAATGAAAGGTGATCACATAGAACACTTTCATTTTTCTGTATTACATTAACACTAGTCTTGATTCTTAGCCAAACCTCATGCAATCTTATATTCCAATATTTTGTGATTTGTTAGATTCCACACAAAGAGTTATGACACCCTAATAAATGTCAGCGCAAAATGGCTAACTTTTATTCATAAAATTTTATGTCGCATAAGAGGCACAAATATGCATGTGAGTATATGCAGACAATGAGAATGTACATCGAATTACATAGTTATTATGATAAGCGATACGACTACTCCAGTTCCCTTAGGAAGATGTAAATCCATGAATTCTTTCACAACCAACTGTTTTGCTGTGGATTTTCATCATAAGGTACTTGAATCAACGTGTGAATACTAAACTGAATGAAGCGCAAAAAATTAATAGGATATGCTCATCTGAAAGCGCCCAGGAATAGTCAAAGTCACTGTGAATACATATCAACTGTTTACGTTTTCTACATTTTTTAACGCTGCCATACAGCTTCTCTTACTCTACTGCCTTTTCCATTTACCGATGATCTGAGCAACATTCATGGGTGGAATATATATATATATATATATATATATATATATATATATATATATATATATATGCCGAGTTATAGCAGTAACACTTTCCACTAGTGGTTAAGCAAAAACGTTTTACATTAGCTTATATCGAATAATGTTTTCATCCAGATAATTCAAACAGATGATCAGAACAGTTTAGAAAAAGTCAAATCTATGATTGTAAATTATTATTATTTGTCCTAGTGGAAAATGGGGCTTCAGTAGCACGCCTACAATACACTCTGTTCTCTGATATCTTTTCAACCTGGCTCCACCACAGCGCAGAAGCTCTCATTTCCTTCTCGCACCATCTCCTTCATGTCATCATCACCTTGGACGCCCAACTCGTCGATTCCCATCTGAGTTCCACTCAACACCCTGGCCTAACAAGTGATGCCCCCAGTCGGCCTTCTCAGTAAATGCCCAATCCAATCCATCTCCACTTCCTTCCACTGCATATTTTTTGAATGATAGCTTCTTGGTTACTTCGTTAGCAGTCCAGAGTTTCTTGTTGCTTATTCTTGTTATTCTGGCCATCTGAACTTCATTAACGAGCCAGCGTAGGTGGCAGTTGTTGATGAATGTCTGTCTGTGGTTTGTTGGAAATGACTTTCGTAACTCACCAAGTCTCTGAGCCATACAGAAGCACTGACTTGACTTGGTTGGTGTTGAAAATCCGCATCTTGTTCACGCTTTATGCTGGGTGCAGAAGATCTCCACATTGGTTTCAGGTTAATGAACGCCTGTCTTGCTGTCCTTCCAATCCTGACTTTGACGTCGTTGTCTGTGCCACGGCCGCCCGTAGTTGAAACAATGCTCCCCTTCCTAGATAGGTGAAAGGGGTTACTTCTTTTAAGTGGTGGTGATTGATGGTGATTGGAGTTTGTTGTTGTTGGAGTTGTTGGTGCGGTATCTTCATCACCTCTGTCTTCTCTACATTCACCTGAGGTGAGTCCCATCTTCGCTGCACTGCCTCTCCTGTCAACTTGTTAGTTTTCGCCTGTACATCTTCACGTTTGTCCAACAAGACATCAGACACAAGTCATCGGCGAAACCAAAGTCTTCTAGGTTCTTTTTCCCGGTCCAGCCAGCGTATCCCCCTTCTTCTCACAGCTCCCCACTATTTGTTGCATGATCCAGTCAGTCGACCACAATCAGGAATATCATGTGTGATAGTAGTCAGCCTTGTTTCACTCCTGTCTTCACTTCAAAGTCGTCACTGAGCTTCCCATTGTGAATTACTTGGCTGGCATGTGGCGTCTTCATATAGTTGTTGAATGAGATTGATAAAGGTTTGTGACACTGAAACTGTTGTGTTGAAGCAGTTGCCTGGTGAATTACTTCTCGGTCGACGCTGTCGAAGACGTGTTCAGAGTGGATGAAGTTGAGTTGAGGTAGAGATCGAGTTGACTTTCATTCTATACTCTGTTGTATGGTGATGCGTAGTGTAGCGTTGCAATTTGGTGCACACATGATTTGTACTTCCTGAATCCAGCCAGCCAGCTAGCCAGTCAGCCAGCCGGTCTTTTCCGGTAGTAGTTTTGAACACAGTGTATCCTCTAGTCTCTCCATGATGATGCGGCTCAATATTTTGCTTTGTTTTGGTGGGCAGTGGTGGGGCGTGATTGCGCGCCAGTTGTTGCACACACTTAGGTCTCCCTTCCTCTGGAGTTTGACAAGGTAGCCCTTCTTCCAATCAGTTGGCAGCTACATTCCATTCCTTCCAGACCTTCTGCAATAGTGGTGTGGTGTGGTGTGGTTTGAGCATATCCTCTGTTGTCTCTGCGTCTGTTCTCAGTGCTTCTGGTAGGATTCCATCTGGTCCTGCTGCTTTCACACATTTCAGTGGCTTAATCGCTCTCAGAACTTTGACTTTTGTTGGAGGACTTGTGTTGAGTGGTAGTTCTGTGGCTGGGCTGCAGGTGGTATTTGTGGACGAAGTGCAGATGATGATGATGATGGTGGTGGTGATGGTGTTTGTGGTCGATTCAGGAGCTTTTTGAAGTGTTCAGCCATGGTTTACTTTGTTTCTCTTCTTCGGTAATTGGATTCCCTCCATCATCTTTTATTGGTTTCATCTGTGTTGATCTCTTCCCTCACAGATAGATAGTAACCTGATTGTTTGATACAATGTTGTCAGGTCTGTAACTCTCCAACCAGCAGCCTGATGTGCTTCATTTGTCAATGTGTCATAGAAGTGTCTCTTGTGCTTCCGCGCACACTTCTTCACTTCTTTGTACAATGTAGTGTTTTATAGGTTGTATTCAGTTCCCCTTTTCGTTGTGCATCCTTGCACTGGTTCATCTTCTGTTTCACCATCCTCATCTCCCTGCTCCATCAGCTTCCATGTGTCCAATGAGATCCATTCCTTACCTTCTTTCTTCTTCATTCCCAATATGGTTATGCAGGTTTCTTCCCACATCTCTTTCAAAGACTTCCATTGTTCTTCCACACAGGTTTCTTCAGGGATGTTGCCCAATATCTCCCGTTTTGTCTTGATGGCTGATGTGAAGATTCTCTTTGTAGTTTCGTCCTTCAATTGAGTTCAGTTGAGTTCAGTTCCAGTTCTGTGTGTTGAACTTGAACTGTGGTCTATCACCAACTTGCTTGAATGCTTACAATTTGATTTTGAAGGTTCCTTGCACTAGATAGTGTTCTTTGCCTACATCTGCTCTCCTTCTTGATCTGATCTTGTGTCATGTAGGCTGGCTGCGTCTCCACCTTCTTGAGATTGAGATGATGTCGACTTGATTTTTAGTGTGTTCTGGTGTCTGGTGAAATCGATGTCACTCGGTTTGTGGATATCCTTGTGCTTGAACACATTGTCTCCAATCACCAAATCGTTGAATGTGCAGAAATCTGTAAACAATTCTCCATTCTCGTTCATCAGCTGACCGAGTGCTTCTCGACCGATGATGAGTTCTCTTCCACTTCCTGTGTTGTCCGCTCTCAGTTTGGCATTCATGTCACCCAGTCATTAGAATTTTGATGTCGCCAAGTGAAGTGAAGTGAAGTGGTGTTGGGGTCTTGTCGTCCAGTGCTGGTTGCAGTTGTCTGTAGAATTCCTCCTTCTTCTCTTCCCTTCATCTGCATTATTTGTAGGTGCGTGGCGTAGCATTGTATGACTGTGACTTTCCATCCTTTTGAGTTGAACCTTGGTGTTATGATGGTGGAGGAGATTGGTTTCCACTGCATGAGAGATGGAGGGAGACAGAGAATGTGTGTGCCTTTTGGAGGGGACCTCATGATATCTACTGCAAAACTGAGTGTGCTGTGTTCGTGGTTGTCGTGTCGTGTTGTCTGTGTGACAATATTGGAGTAGATTATTGACTCCTCTCGAGTTGACAGTTTGGAGAGTGCACTTGCATTCCATCGATTTTCGCAAATTCGTAACACTTGAATGCGATACCTGCTCATCTCGTTTGCAATCTGGACAGTCTTGGTAGGTTCACGCATTGTGTGGACATTCTGTGTCGCCATGTTTACTTTCGGTTTGATGGAGAGAGATGAAGACATATCGGCCAATTGGCTTCTGGAAGGCTTTCACCAATGGCGTGATTTCACCTCTCCGATTGCAGTGGGAACAATATTGTTATTATTTTTTATATTTTGTTTGTGCTTTGAAGTGTGTGTGTGTGTAGTGGTTGTATTTGTTTTCCTGGGTAGGGTTGCTAGCCCTGTGCCCAACCTTCCCTCTTTAGTTGGGTTTTGGGACCGGCTAGTAACTAGTGAACTAGTTAATCAGACTAGGTTATGATTTTAAATTGCAAGAATTAAAATGTAAGAATTAATGGATAAGTCACTCAGTGTATTAGTAAATCGAACGGTGGTATTTAACTTGTACGGTAGTTTCAATCAAGACCAAGATATGTCATCAAAGTTCTAAAAGTTCTATCAAATATTTACAATGAGCAACTTTGGCATACCGCTTTATATGTGACTATTTAAAACGATGATAAATTTCGTTACACGAGGTAATGCCGAATTCATCTTTATTCACATGCCTTTTAAGTCCATATATTTTGGGTTGTGCTAATATATCTTCCGTAAGATTTTAACCTGGCAGTAATAGTCTTCTGACATTGTAATTTAAGTGAATAAAAGTTTAAAGAAATAACTAGGAAATGTAAGCTCTAAACAAAATACCGACCTTAAGTATTGCTAAAAGTACAAGAGTGATATAATGTATAGATTTCCTCGCTACTTTGCTCAAACATTCTGCTTTGTTCGAAATCGAAAAATTAGTCTAATCTTATATTTTTGTTTATTCCAATTTAAGAAAACTAGCTGCATTGGCAGATCTTTCACAGGCTGGTACACGATGTACATGGATTGGACAAGATTATGTCAACTGGAGTTTGGTTGAGCCCCTTGCTAAAGAACATCCTGCATTAGGTAAGTAGCTACTCGTAATATACACACTTTTTGTCATCATTGAATGCCTCATTCCTGTCTTCCAAATAACTTATTCTCTTGTAAAACCAAAAATTAAAATGTCTTAAGAAGATGATGAACAGGGTAGTTCGTGTCTCTTTCGAACGTGAGAATCAGGTGCAAACCACTTCATCGGCATAGCTTCTACTGTGTTCAGCTGACGAATAAGTATCTGCTTTTCTGGAGTTGGTTACATAGGCCACCCATAGCCTGTTCTATCTAAACGCTTCTACAAACCCTATTTTGCATATCTGTTAAGACAGAAAAGCCAATAATATCTCTATCCTTGAGTATCTGGTTATGTTGGACATAACTGCAGTTTTACATAAAAATTTGAAAAGAAACAGAGATATACTCAGTGTTTAAAATGAAACTTCAGACATCTGTGCAGTTTGTGATTCTCAACGATTGCTTTATAGTTCTTGTGATAATGTTAGCTGGCATGTTGCTGGGAAACAAACTGTCGATGTGTAAAATGTTTGCTTTTTAAATCCCTAAAGAAGGTAGAAGTAACTAAAAACGAATTCATAGAATTCTAGGAATCCAAAAACATTTCCTAACCATAAGTATAAGTAGTCACTTGGGTAATTCCATCAGTTACATTATGTTTGTGATGATGAATCACTGTAAGGCAATGAATTCCATGTTATCCAGTCCTGAGTGTTGACCCAATTCTTTCGATCAGTTTGGAGTGTGGATATCAAGCAAGGAGACTAACCATCGTGGTTCATTTTAGTGGACTTGGGTTGTTTGGAGGCAACTGTGAGGAAGCCTTGAACCTCGATGATGAATCTCTTCGCTGAGAGGTCATATTCCAAACGGATTGATAGAATTCGGTCAACACTCACGACTAGACAACATGAAATTGTTTCCTTTTTTAGTGACGAATCACAGTATCTAATCCAGTCCTACATGAATTCAGTCGTGGCTAGAATAGCTCACTGACTGTAATATTGAGTGATGCGGATCAAGATGTCATATAGGACACCAATTCTGTCAAGATTGCAGATACTCTTTGCTGACTAGCGCCAACATGCACGAGATCTACGTCAAGCAGAACTTCTTGCCTGTTACTTCCAATCAACTAGCATTAAGATTAATGGAATGTAAAATTTTGTGATGACTAAAGATGGCCTCGACTGACATTACATACTTTACTTGCAAACTCTGCAGATTTGTGACATTACAATATTCGAAGAGATCGGTCTCTGGTTTAAGTCTTAGTGGACAGAATATCACTCACTGGGATGCAGGTTCATCAAGCTAACAAGTCCCAAATAAGACAAAATGCGCGTCCTGGATTCCATTGCTAACCACTATTCATCATCATTATAAGACGGTGAAATTGTTTGATTAAGCGAGATTTTGTTAGTGTTCTGGCTTACCTAACGGATTATTGGATATTCTCTTAAAAAAAAATAATCACGGTATCAATGTTTACGTTTATATTCGTGAGTGTACGAACGTTATTTGGTATATTAGTATACTGTATATGTTTCTGAATGTTAATAAGATAAACCTGTTTATTTAATGAACTAGAATTGACTGTAATCATTTTAAAGTTGAATTTCAATTTGTCTGTCTAATTACAATTCACAGTATCTTTATTTGAAACGAGAAAATTTTCATACTATTTAACATTGTCAACATACTTAATTATTGGAAGATAACCTTTTTGTTTTAATTTCTTAAGTTGATTTTCATTTTTTTAGGCAAATGTTTTGGTATACTACATCCTCTATGTATTCACTTCGACTTCTAAGAGTCTACAAATTTCTGCAAATAATTGATCCAGCATTCCAGACATTTAATTATATTACTACATTTGTTGTCTATTATTTATAGAATTCAATCTTCTACTTTGCCTAGGATCTTTCCAAAAGTAATTTGAAGGTGTGAAATAGACTTTATTACCATAATATGCAAAAACTATTTTTATTTCTTCTTAGAATCACCTTTTTCCATATGACATTATTAGGGTTAACATCGATGATTTTACTGTGACCTTATATTTGATTATTGTTGTTTAATTCATCTATCTATTCAGTGGAACCTCGCCTGGTTAACTAGTTTACTAGTTACTAGCCGATCCTAAGCCCGGGTAAAGAGGGAAGGTTGGGCATAGGGCTAGCAACCCTACCCCGTAAAACAAATCTAACCGCTAAAGAAACTTCAAAGCACAAACAAAATATAAAAAATGAAAACAAACTTATTCCCCGCTGGAATCGGAGAGGCGAAATGACGCCAGTTGGTGAAAGCCTTCGGGAAGCCAATTGGCCGATGTGTCTTCTCTCGATGAAAGCGAAAGTAAACGTGGGGACATGGAATGTCCGCACGATGTTTGAACCCAGTAAGGCAGCCCAGATTGCAAAGGAGATGAGAAGGTATAACATCGAAGTGCTTGGAATTTGCGAAAGCAGATGGAATGGGAGTGGACTCTCCAAACTGTCAACTGGAGAATCAATAATCTACTCCGGTCACCCAGACGCCAACCACGAGCACACTGAGGGAGTGGCTATCATGATGTCCTCAAGAGCATCGAAGGCTCTCATGCAGTGGGAACCAATCTCCTCCAGGATCATGACAGCAAGATTCAACTCAAAAGGAAGAAAGGTCACAATCATACAATGTTATGCACCTACAAATAATGCAGAGCAAGAGAAAAAGGAGGAATTCTACAGACAACTTCAGTCAACACTGGACAAGACGTCAGTTGGCGATATCAAAATTCTAATGGGCGACATGAATGCCAAACTGGGAGGGGACAACACGGGAAGAGAACTAACCATGGGTCGAGAGGCGCTAGGTGAAATGAATGAGAATGGAGAATTGTTTGCAGAATTCTGTGCATTCAACGATTTGGTGATTGGAGGCAGTGTGTTCAGGCACAAGGATATCCACAAAGCGACATGGATTTCACCAGATGGACACACTAAAAATCAAATCGACTTTATCTCAATCTCAAGAAAATGGAGACGCAGTCTACTTAACACAAGGTCAAGAAGAGGAGCAGATGTAGGTTCAGACCACTCACTATCTAGTGCAAGGAACCTTCCAAATCAAGTTAAAAGCCTTCAAGGAAGCTGGTGATAGACCTCAATTCAAGTACAACACTCGGAAACTGAAGGATGAAACTACAAAGGAGATCTTCAAAGCAGCCATCAAGACAAAATGGGAGACATCGAGCAACATCCCTGAAGAAACCTGTGTGGAAGAACACTGGAAGTCTTTGAAAGCTATGTGGAAAGAAACCTGCACAACAGTATTAGGAAGGAAGAAGAAAGAAGACAAGGAATGGATCTCGACGGATACCTGGAAGCTGATAGAGGAGAGGAGGATGGTGAAGCAGAAGATAAACCAGTGCAAGGATGCTCAACGACAAGAGGAACTGAGCACAATGTATAAAACACTATGGACAAAGAAGTGAAGAAGAGTGCACGCAAAGACAAAAGACACTTCTACGACACACTGGCAAGTGAAGCAGAACAGGCTGCAGGTAAGAGAGACCTGACGACATTGTATCAAATAACCAGGTTGCTATCAGGGAAGAGACCAACACAGATGAAACCAATAAAAGATGAAGAAGGAAATTTAATTACAAAAGAAGAGAAACAGAGGAAACGATGGGCCGACCACTTCAAGAAGCTCTTGAATCGACCACCACCTGCACTTCGTCCAGAAATACCACCTGCAGCCGCTGAATTACAAGTGAACATTAATCCCCCAACGAAAATGGAAGTCCTGAACGCCATAAAGCTACTGAAATGCGGGAAAGCAGCAGGACCAGATGGAATACCGCCAGAAGCACTGAGAACAGATGCAGAGACAACAGCGGACATGCTCACACCACTATTGCAGAAGGTGTGGAGGGAAGAGAAGGTACCTGACGATTGGAAGAAGGGTTACCTTGTCAAACTGCCGAAGAAGGGAGACCTCAGTGCTTGCAAGAACTGGCGCGGAATCACTCTCCTATCCACCCCAAGTAAAATATTAAGCCGCATCATCCTGGAGAGGCTTAAAGACGCACTGGATTCAAAACTGCGACCGGAACAGGCAGGCTTCAGGAAGTACAAATCATGTGCTGACCAAATTGCAACGCTTCGTATCATCATAGAACAGAGCACAGAATGGCAATCAGCTCTCTACCTCAACTTCATCGACTTTGAGAAGGCCTTTGACAGCGTCGACCGAGAAGTAATTTGGAAACTGCTTCAATACTACGGAGTACCGCAAACCTTTATCCGCCTCATTCAACAACTATATGAAGATGCCACATGCCAAGTAATCCACAATGGGAAGCTCAGTGATGCCTTTGAAGTGAAGACAGGAGTGAAACAAGGTTGCCTACTATCCCCCATGATATTCCTTATTGTGGTGGACTGGATCATGCAGCAAACAGTAGGCAGCGAGAAGAGGGGGATACACTGGACGACGGAAAAGAACCTAGAAGACTTGGATTTCGCCGATGACTTATGCCTAATGTCACATAAACTTGAAGATCTGCAGGCAAAAACTAACAAGTTGACAGAAGAGGCAGCTAAGACGGGACTTCAGGTGAATATAGAGAAGACAGAAGTGATGAAGATACCGCACCACCACCATCAACAACAACAACAAACTCCAATCACCGTCAACGGGAGAAACTTGAAGGAAGTAACCTCCTTCACTTATCTAGGAAGCACTGTTTCAACTACAGGCGGGACGGACGAGGACGTCAAAGTCAGAATCGGAAAAGCAAGACAGGCGTTCATTAGCCTGAAACCAGTGTGGAGATCTTCTGCACTCAGCATGCGGAACAAGATACGGATTTTCAACACCAACGTCAAGTCAGTGCTCTTGTATGGCTCAGAGACTTGGCGCGTCACGAAAGGGATTTCCAATAAACTACAGACATTCATCAACAACTGCTTACGCTCGCTGCTGAAGATCAGATGGCCAGAAAAATAAGCAACAAGGAACTC